GGAAGGGAGTGAGTGATGATGGATTGCAGTGGGATGTACACATGAAGAGGTTGGCATAAGATACATGGAGGTGGTGCCTTGCTTTTCACTGCACGTATTAAGAAGTATGCAGGGGCTCCACGGTGGCAATGCATTTGGTAAAAGTTGTAAATACATGCACGCACACCTACCTAAGACAGCGATTAATGGACATTGAAGGAAGCTCAAGACAGACAGATGTCTCTCTTGATTTGGGTTCTGTGATGTGAAGCACACCCTTCTATCTGGTCGCGCTGGTTTCTGATGAAGAGGACCTTTAAAGCTTACCTGCCTTAAGAGGAAACAAAGCCTGGACTAAGATCCTGCACAACTTCATTTTCCTCTTGTTATCACAAACAAAGCCGTTGGATGTAGTCCATTTAGTTGCACAGTAGTAGTTGATTTTACATTGTCTTAAATGATAATGGAGTAGATATGGGAAATTGATGTCTTTTTTTGTTGTCTTTGTCGTCTTTGACTTCTTTCTATCGTCTTTTGTTTTTTTTTTGGGGGGGGGTCTTTTTTTGGGAGGAATTATAGCCTGTCAGACAGCGAGCAGAAGTGATGATGGAAAATTTTGCACATTTTAGCAAAAGCAATGGTTATGTTCCAACAGTAAACACAATGGTTTCCTAGCTCTGAGTAAAATGATCTGTAGATACCAACACATTCTCATCAGTCCTGTCATGGGTAGGTTATCATGAGCTGGACATTTGGCAGTTGTCTTAAATATTTAAAATGATTTGGAAACTAATTTGTATTTGTTTATCATGTCTCTATCAGGAGGTTAAACGTTTTATTGTGAACTTGGTGAGAAAGTTGTCTGTTCAATATTTTAATAAAATTAAGTTAAATTTCTTTGCCAATTGGTCATCTTTTGTTACTTCTTGTTAAAGACAAACATTGTTAAGTCAATATATGTTGTATTGAGACTGTATATCATTTGACCTTCATTTTAAATGCAGCAGGTGAGATGGGCAGTTGACATCAGATATTCTGCCTCGGTAAAATCCCACACATGTGCAAGACTTTGTGGCAGGGTGTAATGTTTGCTGTAGCAGTGGCAACGTGGTGTAACCTCACAGGGGATCCAGTCCAGACACGCAACCAGGGGATTCCACCATTGGCTGATGCCACAGCGAGCTGCACAGCCACTGGCAAGCACAGTGGAACAACAATCATTCAGCAAGGGAGGGACGTGGTGGAAAGAGAGAGGACAGTTATATTTTGTTTTAGTATAAACATCCAACGTGTAGTTCCTGCTGGACAGGACCACTTGACTTGGTTCAGTCCTAAGTGCAAATTTATAAATATGGGGATATTTGCTGTGTTCTAAATATAAGTGAAGGAATTAGTGTTTATTTTTTATGTTTTGTGGCTCTTTGAGTTGAGCTCAAGGCAAAAAAAAAAACATGATGGAAGCTTTTTAAGTGCTTTATCTCATTTGAATCACATGTCTCAAAAAGCCCCATCACAGGGTAAAATAGGCCTGATGTCATCAGAAGTGGAGCAACACAATAAGAGCAAAAGCCATCGGCTGACCACTAGTCGTCTATTTTTACAACACTTTTGCCTTATGTGTTTATCTGTTCTATTTCTGCATTCTGACAAGCCACACAGGCCAGCCAAGATGAAATCAACAGAGCTCAAACGTCTCTGGCGTACAATAGCTCCATCTAGTGGGTGTTCCTCCATGATGTGAGTCCGCATGCTCCACATGAGACCTGCATGATAATCAGTGGTGTGAAAAAAACTCAGATCCTAAAAGTAGCAATACAGCAATGTAAATGCTGTTGCAGGTCAAGGTTGAGTTAGTTTATTCTTCTTGTTTGATATACAATTTGGGAGTTTAGTCCAGTGGTTCCCAACCTCAGGATCAGACCCTCCATAGGACCAAAAGATAAATCTGAGGGGTTGTGAGATTATTCATGGAGTAGAAAAGAAAAAAATAAGTTCTGCAACCCAACACAAACGATTTAAAATTATTTTAAATTTAATCTTTTTTTGTGATGGATGTGGAACTGCTAACAACTCATAGTCAAGTGACGAAAAGTGAAAGTGAAAAAGTGAAAAGTGACGAGGGCTGAGCAACTAGCAAATTATTTTTTGTTAATGGGTTGAAAAGGTTAGGAACCACTGGTTTAATCTTCAACAATGCCCTGCATTTCATGAACATACCAAATGTTTCTTGTGTAAAATTTCAGTCTTGGAAGGAGAAATGTAGTGGAGTACAAAGTACAAAATTGGTCTCTAAAATGCAGTTTAGCAGAAGTAACAAGAAATGGAAATGGTAACATCAAGTGCAGTGCAGTAAATGTCCATATTTACTGTCCACCACTGATAATAATGAATCTTAAAGTAATTTCATTACCAGTGTAAGTATATAAGTGAACTGTTGAGCACAGACAGAGAGAACTGTCTGTGCTCAAAGGGAGGACAGAAGGACATTTTCCTTAAACATTAAGCTAATGTGATTTGACCTCCAGACACAGTGGACCAATCTTTAATAGGAGCTCTTCAATCAATTTAACAGGGTCTGCCAAGATAGCTTCTTGCCTCTGTCTGTTATGGCCTCCAACTCTATCTGAGAATCAAAAGCTTTTACTTTCATCTTCATGTGAGAGTTGTTCTCTAATACTCCTGCGATATAAGGCCACACCTTTATGAGCAACCTACACTCGGGTTATTTTTAAAAGTACATGTGTTGTGAATGTTATTTCAGTGGTTGTGTGAATTCTGTGACAAAGTAAAGGCACACTCATGCAGCTCAACTGGCTGATTATGTAACCATAACAGCTACTGCACATAGACCTCTTGTGTCTCAACTTTGCCACCAGATGGCAACAAGAACATACACGTGCATGCCCACTGAGGGATCCACAGTATTCACTTATTAAAGCAGCAATGTCGATGGTGTTATTGGCTGAAACACTTAATCGATGAGTCAATCAACAGAAAAAATAATCCTTTAGCTATTCTGATTGATCTTTTCAGTCATTTCTCAAGCAAAAATAGTGAAAAAAATCCCAAACATGCTCTGATGAGATGATTTGCTGTTTTTCTCATCAACTGAATATTTTGGGACTTTTGGTAGAACAAAACCAGACACTTGAAGATGTCCCCTTTGGCTCTGGGAAACTGTGATCAATAATGAAAATAATCATTAGTTGCAGCCCTATTTCATTCTGTTGCATTTTAAACCAGTATTAAAAAAAAAATACCCATGTTTACCACACATCACTTTTACATTCTCCTTCATCATGAGATGGAAGTACATCACTTACGCTGTGTTCTTCAGCAGATGGTCAGAGCAGCGTGCCCCCCTACAAACACACACACACACACACACACACACACCCACACACACACACACCCACACACACACACAGCACAAGTTGTTCACATTGTGCAGCAGCTTGGCAGACAGCTGGGGGGAGTCTAGACGGAAGCTCCTCAGCTGGAGCTTCAGGGCCCACAGTGTCACTGCTCTGGGTTCCTCAGTGGCTTTGACTCTCACCAGGCCAGGTCAGTGTGCGCTTGTTGTGAGGGGAAAACATGAGCAGCATCTGGAAGCCTGACAATACGTTATGTTGAGCATATTATATCTGTGGGAGATGTTTGCTGATATTTGTTAAAGCTAACAGTGTGAGTCTGTTTAATGAATCACAGCCTCTTCTAAGACAAATCACAGATGTGAAAGTCTGCTATGCAGTCATCGAGCTCCCCTATGTCAGACTTCTCAGCTCTGCAGCCATGTCAGTTACTCATGATTCACCTGTATGCAGAAAGTGTGCCAGGTGTGACAGAGTTCTTTCCGGCCCCTCGTAACATGAATAACAAGAGGGTCAGAACGCCAAGGCATCATATCAGTTCAACAAAGAATTTTGAACATATTCTTGGATGAACATCATCTGGATGTTTGATCTTCACTGTACAGACGTACAGCATGTGCCGAGTTTGTAACTAGACGGCTGTTTTCACATTCTTCTGTTGAAGGCAGACAGTTTCTCTGTGCTCTCTAATCTGAGTTTTACACTATACTGTTTCTATGAGAATGACTTTGTGACAGCGCAGCTCATTTGTTAGCCAATCGTAGTCGAGAATGCACAGAAAATGTGGATACATGAAGCCTCCAGAGCACGTAATGGACTTTTCAGTGAAGCGGGACCATTCTTTTTCCTGTAGTTAATCTTTTGAAATGAGCAATATTTGCATATTTATAAATTGTGGATTTTTCAATGAGGGAGAAAGTGTAGCTGATAGAAGTTTTTCGCAGAAAATCCATATCAGACACAAAGTTTTATTAAGGAGTGTTAAAGCAAAACGTATGATAACTTGATAATAAATGCATATGCTTCCTTATTGTGCATCCTTGTGCTTTCTCAGATGAAGTAGCTCATAGGCAGAAAGAAGTGTTTGGTTTTTTTGTTGCTACAGAAAGTCTCTGAGGTGGCAAAATGAAAATCTGGTGGGACATTGCATTGCTGTCACCAGCGGGCTGATACAATATAACTACAGAGGCAGGAAATAAAAAGTAATAAAACTGAACACACAATGTCATAATGCAGTCTCCAGGCACCATCACTAATTTTCAGAGATACCCTTCATTGTGGCAGAAGCGTGAAGCAGAGAATAATAAACATTAAATCCAAATGATTAGTAATGAATGCGTCAATAACTCGTCTGTGTCAGGAAGTACACGATGTAATATAAAATGTGTGAGTTCTTCACTGTATTTCAGTGAAAAATTAATCAAATTTTATTCCCTGCACTTAATGACCCAGGATATAATTTTCCTGCCTCCTTTCATCTTATAACTTTGGGACTTTGAATCCCATAAGGAAGTGTTCACCTTGAACAGCTCACAGAGGAATCTGCTGCTTTTTGGTTTAATTAATCTAGATCCAGTAATTCGTGACTATGTGGGTCTGAATAAAAGTCATTAGAAATACATACAAATAACCACTGCAACCTAACAAACTATACAGTACACAGTAGTTACTGATGATAATCCCTATAACTAATAGTTAGCAAACACGGCAATGTATTTTTACCTGTTCTGAAGAAAAGTGTCATACCTGCCACATGTTCATGACTGTGTTACTGATCATTACCAGCAATGCCATGGAAAGTTTTATATGGACCAAAAGGTAAACAACTAAAAAACACATTTCTAGTGAAGTAATACAATCACAAGTCAAAACTACTCATCATTATACTTGGAGTGGGCATAAAAGATATTCATTTTACAGCTTGGTCATTATCATTAGCAGAACACTTAATATACTGAACAGTGACTGTTTTTCATGTGTAGCCGATAATAGCTAACTAATGGCTCGATGAAGCTTCTTTTATTCAGAGAACAGATTTGCAAAGGACTTCCTCAAGTTGCGTATGGTCTCAGCATTTGCCGTGTCTTCCCTGGCAGTGCGGAAAACGGATGTGTCTTTCAGACCAAAGGCATTGATCAGGGATTGGGATTTGCTGGAAGACAAGAGGATCATGAGTTTGTATGAGACAATCAGAATTTATATTCAGTGATAGATACAATCTGATGCAAACCAGTACAGCAGCCTTGCCATAAATTCTACTATTTGACACTGTCATAGATTTTTTAATTCAATTAAATATTTTAGCATTGATGTCATAGTTAGTGGTGTTGTACTGAACTGCATTATATTCAGAGGTGTTTCTAACATTCTGCCCCCCTCATGTTTTTGAATGGGAACATATAATGTAGTCCAGCACAACACCAATTTTAACTATGACCCCTGTAACAAACATATAATTGAATTTACACATTTCAGACATCGTCACAACTGAACAGTATAAATTTTGCAAAGTTAGAATTGGCTGAGCTGTTGATCTGAATTAGCATGAGATCACAAAGGGGTGTAATCTAATAAAGTGTGTATGTGAATTCACAAGTGGCTTGAATATACTCTGCTTGAACAATTCAAATAGCTAGGGTCCTTATTTTGAGCACTGAATAATGAAGGTATTCATACTTACTTCCGCTGTGGGTGTCCCTGTGGTTTTTCCTCAGCAGCTTGATCTTCCAGCAGAGTCTGCTGTTGCTCATGATGAGCCACAGTCGCCTGTGGGTGCGGAGGTGTGTTTTCTCGGAGAGGCCCGGCTGCCTGCTCCTTCTGGTTCTGAGACTGATGCTGGTACTCATCTTGGACAGAAGCATTTGAGTTACACTGGACCTGCTGCAGTCCTCCTGATGTTAGAATATCATGGTTCACAGACTGAGATAGCTGCGCTGCAGGGCTGAACTTTGCAGGAGATGTGAGGATCAACTTTGGTGCAGGCCTTTTTGAAAGTAATCCTTGGGGTTCCACTGGGCCCCCTGATTTCATCACAAAAGATATTTATAATATTCAGGCATCTTAGCTATAGAGACAGAAAGATTCATGATGGTTTAAATTTGATAGTTAGTATATGTATGTCATATGTAGTCTAGCATGTTCTCACATCTCACTGGTTTATTCATTCATTTATCTGACAAAAACACAGTCTCCCACACTGTTAACATAGAAGGGAGACAGACGCCACCAAGTAACTGCACAAGGGAAGCAGAGGGGATACATTATCACAATACAATCATCTTTTCATGCATTGGAAGTAAATCATTGTGTGCAGTGCAGTGTGTATGCCCAACAGCTGAACAGATGGAGCGATATGGCCTCCCCACTTGAAGGTGTAATTGAAAAAGTTTGTGACATTGTCAAGCAGAAGTATCACAACATAACACATACAGGATGAGGATACAGACCGAACATATATTGCAAATGAAGCTTTATTGCCAGTGACAAGAGGGGAAATATCCAGAACGGACTTTTTTCCACAATATATTATATTCTGATCTTGATTTAAACAGTCCAACACCGGTTTTAAAAGTACACATATAAGTTACCATCGCCCTTAAAGTCCTGCAGGTCTGACGACATAAGTTTCACCTCAACACAACGGCCAAATAAACACACCCAATTATAATTTATCAATCACCGAACCAAGGCCTAACCATGCAGCTTTTGAGACTGGAGAACCCCAGCACGATCCTCCCTTGGAAATCAATGTCATGGCATATTTCCTAGTAAACAGAACAACACATCCATAAAGCCTCAGGCATGGCTTTTACAAGGATACGCTCACAGATACAATGGCACTTTATACAACTTGGAAAAGAATTGCACACAGAGCTTGCTGAACATACTTTATATCAGAGTAACAAACAAATTGTTGGAAAATGGTCCAGATTTCTTTTTACAGTTGTTTTGGTTGCTATTTAGCTGTTTCACCATTCATATGAGGGACCTCCACCATAGCCACTGGACAACAACTGAGTGATTGTGACATTTGTGTGAAAATGTTTTCAAAACAATTCAATGAGTGGATGAATATAGTTTTTTTTTTTTAATCAATTCGATGGAAGATCTGATTTCAAAATAAATACATTATTTTGTAAAAAAAAAAGACTTATATTGCACTTTCCATCAACTCACTGGAAGAGTGTGTGATAAGGGTAAACGTGCTAGATCTTTGAATGGCTGTAACACGGGCACAAATCCACACTAAACCTCTGAGCACTTGCATTGTTGTCATGGAAACACCACGATAGCCGATATCCAGTGTGAGGGCCATGGGGTGGACTTTATATCAGGCATCTCACAGCAGATCTGACATTAAACACTTTTTTCATTATCAATTACAATGTCTGCTTCCATGCAACCTAATGCAAAAGACAACAATTTGAACACAGCATCAGTTCACTGGTGTGTGATTTGCAACATGCTATTTGTGCTGTCTTGGAGTGCTGTTCTCTGATGAAATTACACACTCCATGTGACACTACAGCATTAACAGTCCCCTTGCTGATATTTACATTGTGGGTTCCTGGAGTGCAAATACTGTTATTGAAAGTAAATAATTTATTCTTTGGTTCAAAATTATACAAATATATTGAAGTTGTGTGTGCATACACCTGCACAACACCCTACATAATACAATCTGTAATAAATCTTATACTAATTTTAATATTTATTATGTGTCCATCTATAAGTATTCTAAAATCATCCTAAATAATCTCTTCTCTTGTGACATTGTGACATTATGGATGAAAAAAAATAACTTTATGAAAGGCAACATACTGCATGTCTCTATTGTGTGTGTATGCAGGAGTGCACACAGTCACTCTCAATGTGTTAATGCATGTTTGGGTATGAATATATGTATCCTCTAGAGCCTATATAATATTCCTTTCTTATGACACATTCACAATGCATGAATCACAGGGTAAAACAGCGATGTTACATGAACATCCCACTTGTTCAGACATTTATAACTGACTTACACCTGCCTTTGTGTCAATCATGCAAAACAAAAATAAATATCTATTAGTATAAACATGAAAATAATCACCACTACAGTCATACACACCCACGTACTGTATACATATTGAGATATACACAAACTTCAAACTGCACGATAGTCCACAGTTTGAACAATATCTAAAGATACACACCAAAATAGAAAACAGAAAGGGGGTAGGGGGCAAATGAAAGAGTCATAGCTGGGTCAAACAAGTAGCACAGAGCAGCACTGAACTCAGTGTAGGCACAATCTGCTTTTTACATCATCAACAACAGCCCCAAAGAAAATCCACAGCTACTGAAACATAGGTGACCTATACAAGCACACAAATCAACAGGTCAACAAGTAGACAGTACATTTTGACACTGCATAGAGTTAAAAACACAGTCCAGGCCAGCACTCAGCTGTACCAAGCTCACGGCGCCAAGATCTGATTCTAGCTATCAGCGTCCACACACACACGTCTGCGCTTGCGATTAGCTATGGTACGTCATTGTTATCTAGACTCTGAGACTTTCCCCCGTTCTCCTGGGTGACTCAGTTGGCCTGGACTGGTTTTGGACCCACTGCAACGCCATTACAGTCGAGAATGTACTGCAGACAACCTTGAGGTGGGCGCCCGGCACCGTTCTTAGTGGGTTCGCCAGCGATCTCTCCCTTCTGGCCAGCTCCCTAAAAAGAGAAAGAAATAATTTACTCATCCACCAACAGCTATGATCATTTTCTTGTAGTGAGATCTAAACAAATAGCTAGAATATTGTAATCTTGCAATATAAATAAGTGACAATATAGCACATTGTAATTATATCTACAATGATAATAAATCAACACAAGAGTCTTGTCTCTAAACTCTGAGACAGTGTGTGCACTGTGCCTTTGTGTTACTATACCTGGGATGGCTGTATAGTGGTGGGTCTCTGGGGAGCATTAGCTTCATTCTCTGCTAACAGCTTCATTCTTGTCAGCACCATGTCGGCAATGAGCTGTCTGTCCTCAGCCTGGTGCTCCCCTACCAGAGGCATGGAGGAGCCTGCCACCTGCACCACATGGAGGATAGTTTCAGCAGAGAATGATGGGATACTGACATCACTTTACGTAAAGCTTGTCCTCATATAAATGTTGGCTGGTATATTGAAATAGTTCGAATGAAGGAACAGGCAACATTTGTACTTTTTTGGATTGATACAGCTCAGTATGTTCCTGAAGTTTCATTACAAGTTATCCACTTTCACTCCTGAGCTGTAGCTGTCAAAGCTGATAATCGTACACTCCTACCTCTGTGATATAATCTCTGCCATCTTTTCCATGGATGGCTTTGACTGCACAGATATCCAGACCCCCAAAAATCTCTGAGCACGTGTCAACCCAGAGCTTGTACCTAAGCATACCAATCAACACAAGACTCAAAACCGTGGTCTGATTATCACTTATTTCTATTTCAATATAATAAATATTATAAAACACAACAGGTTATCACACCAATAGTAACTTGCTAATAACATGCAACAGAATTAATGAACTTCTTTTTTTTTAAAACTGAGAATATTTGCTATGTCAAAATAAAATTGTTCTTGTCTTGCAGTGTGGGATACTGATTGAACGCTTACCGGTCAGTCATGGCTACTTGTTCAAGCATAGCTGAGCCTGTGTTGGTCTTCCAGTTTCCAGAAATAGATGTTCTCCTGAGAAGTGTGTAAATTGCACGAAATTAAAACAAGTTCAGGTTTGTTTCTCATTCGCTTCTTAAGTTCATAAATATATACAATCTTACTTACATGTAGGCTTTGTAGTCACTGCCAATCTTCTGGATTCGGATGTCATACTTGGAGTCAATGAGAGGCTCTGTGGTTGTGTACGTCTGGGTGAGAGCTACGACACTGGCTATGTCCTGGAACTTACTGTGATTGTCCACCTTCACCTGTGCACAAAAACAGACACATGAGACAGAGAAGAGCAAAAATACCCAGGATTTAAAAAGGCATCTGGCACTAAATTGACTCTTGTAGACAGCATGATGCAGACGAATTCTGATTATATTCAAACTGTATACATTTCAATATATATTCATCACGACTAAAGTTAGGAACATAGAGAAACAAAATTAAGCATTATTTAATTTTGCAACAGGAAACATCTCTATACCTTTCCAATACCAGAGTGGGCGTGTCCAATCTTCACAACAACAGGGAATGATGGCATGCTTACCTAAAATAAGAAAATATACTGTGAGCTGTTGCCTTAAAATTCCCTCTATGCTTTCATCTTGCAATTTCAAACATTTGAGAAATATTTTGTTTAATTCAAAAACATTTTTCTTCAATGCAGTAAAAAGTGGGTGGTGATGGTTTTCTCACCATCTCCTTATAGTTTGGGTAAAAGGTCTGCTCAATCAGAGGGAACTTCTCAGCCCCAAGTTTCCTGTAGGTGTTTATAAGTTGAGCAAACTGGACACACAAAAAGATAAATAAATTAGTATTTAGTATTAGTATTAGTATATTTAACATAGTTAATTACTGTTACTTGATAGATAAAAGACAGTGAAGCTCTCCCTGGCTGCTGAGTGCCTACCGCCCAGGGCTTGTCACACAGGTTGTAGATTGACTCAAGGGAGTTGATGCTTGGGACACCTCCATATTGCAGACCAATGATCAGGTTGCGAAAATCTTCGTTCTGGGTCATACTGAAGGCATGTTGACGAATGAGGACAAAGTCTGGCTTGAATGACCTAGAAGATAAAATTATAGCTGAGATGTGACAAAAATCTCACCAACCTGGGGCAAATCCTGAGAGCAGTGGGTATGAGTCAGAGAGTCAGCACTGTGGGTGGATTACATTCGCACTGATTAAAACAGTGAGTACCAACTTGTGTGAGGTTGTGTGCATCTCACCTGACAACCTTGGTGCCACTCCTCAAAACCTGCATGTTAACGTTGCAGGTCCCGTTGGCATGAGCCACAACATTGATCTCATTGAATTCAGCCTGGGGTTACAGAGGTTACAGAGGCATATGAGGATAGAGTACTTAAATCTCTCTATTCTGTTTTACATAAGTACTTAAAATGGATATCAGTGGCTTGGTGAAACTTACCTGCTCCACTTTGATGTCATAATCCCCATATACTTTCTTTCCTTTGAATAATTTTGCCCTGTTCAAAACAGAAACACAGAGAATTCATAAACTGTTAATGTAACAATAAATTCTATAGATTCCTTACAAAGATATTTCAAATTGATATCCAACCCAAGTGCAAATCTAGCCCTGACTAATAATCACTTTACAACAACATGGAATATGAATTAATGTTGAATGTATGCCACTAGAGTTGAGTGCATGACACTCAACTCAGGGCAGACAAATGCTTCCTTTCATGCTCTTCCAACTGCTGATACAAAGCCTCTCTAACAATTCCTCCCTTAAATCAAGCAGCGAGGAGAGATATAAAGCATTACAACATTTTTAAAGGCTGTATAATTCTTACAGGAAAACCTTCCACAGCGTAGACACAGATGCAATTCAGTATATTCTACTGCTTGGTCCATTTGCAGTACCACCCAGTAGGGTCAAGAAAGGATGCAGTGACATTCCTATTGAGCACACTGAATACACTTTTTCAGAAAATGGCTGCATCTTTCATCACTTGTGATTCATCACTTTTTAAAACAGAGTAACTGGCTTTTCTTGCTTGAATTAAAAACTGCACTTCCATGTCCTGAAACACCTTTTCTCCTGAACCACTGCTGGAGAGGAAATCTTTTCCCATGCGACTTAAGATTAAGATGGATCAGTGTCCGTCTACTGACACCGCACGAGATGAAAACTGCAGAACTCACACAGTGACTGCTGCTGTTAACAGTGTGTTCGATTTCTTTGGCTTTTTTTTTTTTTTATGACACTGATGTGTAGGTGCTGGGCCTGACAACATAAGCTTTGAAGGTAGAAACATCCGGGGTCATCTACAGTAAATCATTATTAATGGACTCTATCTCTTCAAGTTGCCACAGAGGAGGTTTCATTCCCGGTTTCCACTTCCACAGTTTCAAGTTCGCACTTCAATTAACAGCCATCAGCTGCAGTGCAACAGTGGTAAACTGGTGTGGTGCTAAACATTAATGAAAGAATGAAAGAATTTGTAGACCGTCTATGTTTCAGAATGTGCAGATAATATCTGGCAGACGTGTTTCGGAGTTCTCACTTCCTCTTCTTCTTAGTGTGTACCAGCTTGCTGTCATGTACCCTTTACTTCGAACTCATTTAGTGAGGAGGTAAAGCTGAATAATTCATTCTCAATCTAATTACAGCATGGGGATGTATTTGGCTGTGGAGGAAAACAAACATTAAAATATGAATCATTGCTCCTATATCTGGGAAAATGAAAAGCCTACTTCGCACTGTGATGAATAGTCTTAACCAATAAACACAGTATGAGCGACAGTGTTTCCAAAACATCACCCCTTGAAACAGACAATACAAGGTACGAAAAAGACAAGCCTAGCAATATTATTAAAAGTATAGCATTGTTTAATTGATCTATGTGTTATCACTCTGCAGACCACATGCCAGCTCAGCCTATACTGAGCACAGAAGCCATATATTCAAAGAGGACATGATCCTATAGTACATTTAACATGATTTTCAATGCTGTGAATTTGTATGTTTTAGTATTTGGCAGTCACTTCAAAGCAACCGTGTTACCTTGTTAAAATTTACAGCCATTCTGTGTTAAGTTTAGTTGCTTTCCTCACGGCAGCTGTCATCCAAAAACCAAGGACATTCTGGTTATGTGTTAGTAATACTTCTGCGTTTGCCCTTGATGAACGCGCTGACCTTAAAAACTGGAGTTAGTCACTGGGCACTGCATTTATGGCGGCTCACTGAGAGAGAGACAGGAGCGTGATAGTAGCTGTTTATCCCGATCATTCATTTGTAAGAATCAATATGGGTGCTCTTGACTTGAATTAAAGATGAGGTGAGAAATAAAATGAGATAATAAATATATATATAAATCTTTCTCTTTTGTCATGTCAAGAGTAAGTAAGACAATTTAGAGGATGAAAAATGAAGCAACTTCATCAATGGCTGCTGTGTGAAGATATTCCCAAATTTCATATTGAAAGAATTTTTAATTCAGATGATTCACCCGGGAGCTCGGTAAGCAGGAGCCCTTGCTGAATTTTAATGTCATCACTTAGCCTGTTTAACATTCACTCTCACATGTTAGTAATGTTTCAATAAGGTTAAGCTCACAATACTAATCACTCTTTTCCTGATAACAGTTAAAACAGTATCCTATGTATTTATGTATTTTAATTTTGAACACTGAGTGACTGAGACTACAGAAGCAGCACAGCTCAGTCATTAGACTGATAAGTAAGACAGTGTACCATCTGCTCCTCCTGTCAAAAGAGCAATTTATAGCAAAGCATTCCCGGAACAAAACAAACCTCTCTGTATGTCTGGCAGCCTCATCTAACAAGTAAAAATGAAAGAATGTGTCTGTCTCTATATGTGCTGTGACCCAGGCAGTCGCCATGGTTCTATCAGCACACGTTTTATTCTGCACAGTTTTATTAGGTTTGACACAACCTGTTACATGGCACCTATTCAAATACTCATCCATAATAATGTCTTCTATTTTCTCTGGGTGCCAATTTACAAATTTGTCAATATCTTACAGAATCTATGTAACTACAGCTAGACTCAATTGTAATTTATTTGATAAAATATACAACATACTTAACTTGAACAAATTATGATTACTCAGAATATATAATAATAATAATAATAATAATAATAGTAATAATAATAATGAGACAGTAATGGTAATTTGAACTTGAGTGGTGCCATAAAATGCCGTATTTTTACACAAAATTGCCAACATATGCCATACTACACACTATATATATCTACTGTATCTGTATCTACATATATATTCAGTGTGGTCCAAAAGTCAAAAACCACTTGAATAGGAAAATGGTCTCAGACCTTTGGACCCCAGTATGTATATATACTGTATATATATATAGATCATCTGAGATTTACCTGATTTGATAGGATAAATACAAGCTGATGCCTGAGCCCTCTCCTTAATGCAATTAGTCTGGAGGACTCTTTCCTGATTTCATTCTACGTGTCCTGGGGCCACCAGGACTCATCACTAGAATTTTCTGTTTTGGCAGTGGGCAGAAAAGTGTCTCGAAACAGACCGTTGTGCAATGAGATACAGCACATAAACAAGCCCTCAGACTCAAGGTGGGCCAACATTACAGAGAATATTAGGCACTCAGCGAAACCAACATTATAATAAAGAGAAATTTCATGCTCTTACAGCTTGCCAAAAGCTATATTTTTTTTATGGTTTTCACCCTGCCACCGTGAGAGCTGAATACAAAGCATGTAGTATTACAAACACGTAAGTACTTTTTCTGAAGCTTTGCCCTCCAAGTCATTTTCAACATTACATTTTTTCCTTATTTTAAATTTAATAAATGAAACGTCAGTGTAGTGCTAACATCTACGAGCTACAGTAGACGAGCAGACCTACATTACACTGAATAAACCAAGACTGATTTGTACTACTGTAGATACTTACAACCACTGGGTGAAAGATCTTATAAAAGAAACCAAAGCTATTGAGCAAACATGTACAGCTCCCCTCTCAGTGATATTGAGCAGCCATGAAAAATAGATGCAGCACTCAGACAGAGGGAACCTATTGAATTAAGTATTTTAGCTAATCTCCCAGGTGGATGTGTACTAGATACACAGTATGATGCAAGAAACTGGTAGTCTGTGGAGCTCATGAACACAGTCAACTAACATTATATTGATTAACTGCATCAGGTACCAGTAATAATGTCAGAGCTGGAGATTAACTGACATTTTTCTCAAATACATAGGAGCTACTACATATTAGATCTTGTTAGACAGTCTCAGCCCAACCTACTCCCTATTCTCAGTTAGAATCACCTTTGATGAATGACGTGGTTTTAGTTTAATGTATTATATTGTGTTCGTCTGCCAGAAAACTGAAAAGCAGCGTCAGTGTATTGGCACACCACACTGTAATCCTTATTCTCCAACAACTGAACTCATACGGCTGGCATCCATCCTGCTGACAGAGTCTCAGCTTACTAACATTGATCAAGGTTTCTATTATATAAATGGGCAGTCCTACAAAGGGTAAGAGGACACTGCCAGGCCACCTGAATTAAGCAAGGCAATGCACTTAAATCTGTGTGATTTGGTGTGTTTTGGGGCCACGTTCCTCATAAGATTCAATTAAATTCAGCACTATATGCATCTTAATCAGTGTGAAAATAAAATCCTGTCACAGTGGCCATCTTGTTGTGGTCTCCACACAATGTAAAACATAAACGACATATTACCCTTGATATGACTCTCAACATTCAACATGACAGCCTGCACAGATTGATGCCAAATGTGATGGATTTTTGTAATAAGGGCATTAGACAAATCTGTCTGAGAATAGTCAGTTGAAGTCTGGCCATGTTGTTCAATGTTGAAAAAATTGTGCATAGATTTAATATTGATTTTATTTCCATGCCTCAGAGCCCAGCGTCCACAAAGTCAACCAGTGAGAAAGTAGTCCCTATGTGCTTTCCATTAGAAAGGCATCACAGGATTGAGTTTCAGTTCTCTGCTCTCTATCTCTAGGCAGCAACTAGTAATGTCCATACATAATAAACAAAGGGAGGAAACAGAAATCACAGATGAATTGTGCAAATGTGTGAGCTCCCCACTGCACTATCCAGCTGCACAGCTCTAGCACACATAATGCTGTGGAAAACATGTCAGCTGTGTAAACAAATTTTGATCATGAGGAGATGGAACTGACATATTTTTTACTGTTCAACAAGATATCAGTCTCTATGCAAAATTAGTTTCCTCTGAATCCATCAGCATAATCATTTAAAGCACTTTAATTCTTTGCCACACTAGACTGACAAAGATGCTTGCTTTAATACACCTCTAAAAAAGAGCTCTGACTGTTAGTGTAACGGCTCAAATGACTTATTGTAAACCCACTCTTAACATTAATACTACAATGGCCCTTTCTCTCCTCAGGCTGTGAAATATTTCTTTACTTGCCCAGCTACTGCACACCCATATGCATAACTGACTAATGGCAACCTGTGCACCATGCTCTGCAGTAAGTTACATTAACCGTTCCCTATGTACACTATGTGCAGGGCATGTCATGTGATCTGCTATCAGTGGGAAGGGGGGAAACCCCATTGATGGAAGGAAAGCACTGCAGTATTTAGACTACTTCCAGACAAATAACATGCTTTTCCCAATTCTGCACAACCTGTGGAACATCCATTTTTAAGAATGGTAAAATGACACATTACAGGATAACACTATCCCGATTTTAGCTAATTCACTGTATTTTTATACAGGCAGTTGTTATAAACCCTAGATTCTATTGTTTCATTATGTTAACAAAAAAAAAGACTAAAGACGAATATTTACTACAACAGAGAGAGAACAGAGGACAATACAAAATCCTCCATTTTGGTATTATGTCATTACTGCTGAGAATCAATGGACCATATTTCCCTAAGTATTGGCTGCCTCCACATATTACTGTAACAGAGACATGCTGTACCATCAAACCACAGCAGAAGTGCCCATTCACATCTGCAGGGTGCTTCATACAGATGTCGTTTCAGTGGGTCTTTAAACGTTACCTAACTACTACATCCCCATGAAGGGAAAATCAGAATTAAGGAGCAAACCAACAACACATAGCGTATAAATGATTTGTATTGAAATACATGACTGAGTAAAGCAGTATATTTTCTTACCACTCCTGTTGTGGTTCGTCGATGACCAGGAGAATCTTAAACTTCTTAGGTGTCGTGACTTGGGTCTGCTCCACTAGCCCTGCTGAGGCAGCTGTCTGCTTAACAACGTTGGTGATGGAACTAAAGAAACCCGCTCCGGTGGACTGAGCCGGCTGGGATTTCCTCTCTGGAGCAGGGGAAGTGGCTGGAGGTGTAGGCCCAGCTGTAGGAGACTTGGCAGGGGTGGTGGTGGTGGCAGGTGGAGGAGGCTGAGCAGGGTCAGGCCTCTGGAGGTCTGTCATGTAGCCATTGGGCAGGTTGGAGATGAACGTGCTGTCCGAGAGGCGCCGGCGCAAATAATTCATGGCTGGAGCTGAGAGAGGAGTAGAGTCAACAAGCACTGGGTGTGGAAAATTATTCTGCAGCGGAGTCCCTTTTCTTAGTGTACAGCTGATAATGGCCGAGCTCTCAATGCAAACTCCCAGCGACTGAATTCCCTCCCAGCTCAGCGGAGCATCCTCAGAGCTCCCCCTCACTGGCAGTGACGCTACAGTCCAGCTCAGCCAATCCCCTTACACTATGCTTTCCTCAGCCATTGCAAATGATGCTCTAGCTGTGCCTCTCCTTCCTCTTCTCGTCCTCTCTCCTCTACACTCTCACTCACTGGCGTGCCTGCCTTCCCTACCCCTCCCCCATTTTCTACTGCCTTACAGGCGTCATGCTTTTTTGAACCACAGCATGGAAAATAGAGGGGTTTCCAGTGCAAGTGCAAGAGGGTATACTGAGTGCTACATCATAATTGCCTCATTCCTGCTCCCTCTGTCCCTCATGTCTTCTCTGCCCTGTGTCTATGCACAGCATCACTCTGTGTGTAAAATGAAGCCATGAAATCTAAAATGGCTGTTAAGACTAGTGGGCAATGTTGAATGAGAGGAAAAGCGTCAGCAGCAGTCCCTTGAGACACAAATGCATGCAGTAAACACTCTCTCTTAATTGATTTATCAATCCCTATATAGCCACCTATTTAGTATATTAAAATTTCCTACAAGACATGCTTTACCTCACTATTTTAGTAGACTTTATTTGACAACACTTTTCATATACACATTCACTTCTGCAGATGTAAAATTGAAACGTTAAAACAAAGACACATCTTAGAAAATTTCTCTGTACTAAATCATCTGTTCATTACAAAATTATGATAAAAAGCATATATCTTCCCAAAGCACATATTAATAACTTCATCACTAAGGAAAATGTCGACAAACAATTGCCACTGCTACTAGTCCCTGTGAAGTACATTAATTGGCTGCTCTATCATGTTTTAACTGGTTTATATACAAGGAGTATACTGTAGAAACAACTAAAGCTGTGTGGTGAAACTATCACAGATCACCATGTGTCCAACACAGGTAACAAATGGATATTTTGAAAAGGGCCAGGAAACACATCAATAAATCAATAAGTGGCAAAGCTCAGAAGTCACCATAAATCTAATCAAACCTCTGCACGTTTTGAGTCTGATGCACACAAATATGGGGCCTTAAGTGAAAATAATTTAAAGATTTATATTTATATGTTACTAGTTATTTCTCAGCATGACTATTTTTCTCCCAAGACAAAAATTACTAGTTGACTGGTGTCATCATTAAGGCACTGATCTTTGAGGACATTTAGCCATCAGAGATTTAAACAGCAGTGAAGGTCAAAGAAAGGCCACAATGCTGCACTTAATATGATGAAAATGATAATAGGTAATCAATTAAAATACTGTAAATATCAGACTACTTGCACAAAACGGGTAAAACCTATGCATATGCTACATGTGTTATACATAACATTCTTGATAAAGGTAGCTTTAGTATCAACTGGCAAAAAATGTCCAAATAGAATTTTGGTCCATAACTATAGTTAGGATGCAGGATGTTATGCATGATAAAACAATTTATTTCATCCTTTTCAGTGTGGAGCAACCAAAGACTAAGTGAATCTTTTGCTTAAATGACCAAATTAACTTTGCATTGTTCTACTGTTCTATACTACTGTACTGGGCCAAGCTTCTCTATTTCTAACAAATGGTAATTGCTAATAAATGATTAAGTACTCCTAAGAAATAATAACATTTGTCAGAGCATAGCTTTACAGGAATAGTGGAGTTTTGTTGAATCCATGACAGTGACAACTACAGCTCTAATTATAGCCTTTATGTTTGTACTTTGTTTAATATTGTCATTCTGTTTCTCAATATTGTAATTTTACTGTCACTCTGTCTGACTTTTTATTTACAACATCTGTTTCAAAACTATTGTGTTTTTCTTCCTGTAATGGAATTGGGTATGTAATGACAGAGGGTGCCATTTGTTGTGCAGATCGCAATTTTGATATAGGATTTTGGGCTATGTAAACAAAGGCTATGCATAGTTTCTTGTGTATTGTATAGGTTAAAAGTAGGGTGCAAGCATTCCGGACTGAATATCCATAGACTGGAAGTCTCGCCTTATTTTTGTATATTGGTCAGAGATACAATGATGAGAACAGTCTTCATTTATATTTATATATTGGCTTAATAGAAGCTTTAGCATGCACTGGAACTTATGCATAGATGCTAGGGTGACACCGGCTGGTAGTAGTGGTGCAGTGAACGACAAAACTGACCTCCGCTTTGCTGAAATACTTAGCCCAGCATTTCCCCACAGATGTTCGTGGATGAGAAGATCCAACAGCACCGCATGCCCCCGCTGGTCTGTGTTGCAGTCAGGAGGTTGATCAGCTGCTTGCGGCGTGCTGTTTGCATCAACACTATCATGATATAATCGTTGCAAATTATGCAATTGTACATAAGATACATACAATTGGTGATGTCTTAATGTTTGCCCTGTCTGGCTATGAGTGCCACTGGCTTTATGTTGAGTGTGCTTCAAGTTACAAAAGAGACAATGCAAAAACGTATTGAACAGTAGGTCCACAGAAAACTTAAACATTATAATTCACAGTGTAGTGTAATGTCATATTTACCATCCCCAAACTTTGCTACCATTCGCCTCATCTCCACTAGGGCCGCTCTCCACTCTTTTGTCTGTGGACTGGTCCGGTGGGAAAGTGCGTGAAGGCACTGAAGCTGGGCTAGCCATGGTGTTGTTGTGGCTGTAAAGCTAAATTTTGTCGATGAAGTGAGTAACATTGACTGTTAATGTTAAACTACCGTTGGAGCTTTGTTGTTGGACATAAAGTCATTGAACGTAACTGAACTGTAAGTTGTAACTGAGGTTTAGGTTAGTTCAGCGTTTATTCGGCTTTACTAATTGAATCGAGAACATTACTTACTTACTCCAAAGTTGGTGACAAGCTATTAATGGCTAACGTTAGCTTGTGCCATAGACAAAGTAGCTAAAGTTAGCTAGCTAGTGTGCAAACTCCTGCAAATAAGTTAGCTAAAATAACAACTGTAACACTATCTTAATTACTGCTTATTGTAATAATAGCTTTTATTTCAATGTATCTATATCGAATATAACTTTCTTAACCAACTTGTGCCAGTAAAATTTAGCTGGTTAAAGCTAGCCTAGCGGTTAGCTGAGCCTACGTGTTTTACTAGCGTAAATGCTATCCTTTGAATCGTTAACGTCAGCGCCAGGCATCGTTAGCCAGCCAACCGTTCTAGTAAAGAGAACACTATCCACGTTAATTAAATTTCTCCAGAAGTAAGTTATATTTAAATTGTCGTGTACTATCTGATTTTCCCAATTTCTCTTCTGTAGGATAGACGCTTCATTCTCTTCGCTGGTATATCTTGCTAACATCGATGTTAGCAATTAGCCTGTTCGTGTAAATGCTATTCACTAGAATGGACCTGTTGAACTCTCAGTTCCTGGACAAAATGAACAATAACATTGGGAGACTGCACTACGAAGGTCAGTTTGCTAGTGTGTATTTAACTTTTTGTGGAAATAATATTTGGCGTGTTCTCTAATTGCCAACACGCCAATTTCGTCAAACGAAGTGTTTTGATTTGCAAATGATGTTAACTTTTATTAACTACCTCACGGCTAGAGCCAAGCTCACAAGTAAAATAAGTCGGCATGGTTTTTTTTTAAACTCATTGTGTGTGTGTGTGTGTGTGTGTGTGTGTGTGTGTGTGTGTGTGTGTGTGTGTTGTGTTTCATCCCTCAGTGTACGATACTATAAGTCTTGTAAGCCACAATAAATGACATTAGCTGTTCTTTCTTTGTAACAGGATTCTAAACCCTCATATTTATCATGGTAGTAATCTCCACACAGACCTTACCCAGACCAAGAACCCACTAAAGACTTGAGAGATGATGATAATGAGTGCAAACTTCATACATTTTTCCTATTTGATGCAGCAGTTTGCAACTTCATACGGTTTACATTACATTTGTTGTGCCTATAGAGTGAAATATATACAAAGAAATATTTAGAATAGTGAGCACATTTTTGCCAGGGAAATGTCTTGATAGTAACAGTGTGTGTAGCATTTGATTTCTACTTAAAAGGAAGCAACTTTACTCCAGAAATCTCCTGTCCATTGCTCAATCGACCTTCCCAATCAAAGATCTCCGATGACTAAAAACAGTCATCTTTCCATATTGGAGATGTCACAGTTTTCTCTTTAATTTTAGGATGACATGACCTCTTATCACCTGGCAATTCTTGCACGAAATTGCAGTGAAAATAATACATTTGGACTAGTACAATAGAAAATATTTTAGATATTCATGATCAATTCTGGAAATATCTATTTATAATTAGATTTAATCTGACTTTAATTAGATTATTTGCACTGTTGGTTCCTTTCCCACAGATGAGTCCAGGACACCCTCCCTGCCCACTGCTATGTCCAACATAACTGGGCCTCCTCCACACTGTCCAAGCAAACGGAAGTATGGTGAAGAACAAATGGATGACCGAATCAACTGTGATGATGACCACATGACCAAAATGAGCAGATTGTTTGCCACTCAGCTGTAAGTGCCTTTCAGAAGTTTAAAACATTAATTTTTATTGTGTCCAAGCCTAATTATACTAATATTGTATGGGATAATATGTGTTTTGTTATTGAAGTGAACTACTATGTGAGCACTCCGGCTTCCTCCCACAGTCCAAAGACAAAAGAAACTAAAAAAATCCCTGCACATAATTGTTCACCTACTGCAGTTACTTAAGTAATTATGTTTCAGTCCTCAGGCTTCATTAGGTACAATTCATATAGGCAAACCGCACCAGATATTGATTGATATTGATACAAATTGATATATAGATATAAGATAGGGGAAATCCTCAACAAACTTAATTTATTGAACAAGCCCAAGAAGAGTCAAAACCATTCAGCCTGAAAAAATCCCAGTTTGAGATTATGAAACAAAAGTCTGAACATGACCTTGCATGCAGACGCCACCTCCAGGCTGTAAATCATTGCAACTTTAAGAGACAAATTGGATTGGATTACCAGGACACCATAGTCTACAATTGAGAAATCGTATATGTAATCTTTAACTAACTCTGAGAGATGCCCACAATCATGAAAATGCTGCACACTAAAAAGGACAAACAAGACTAAAATCCCAGCCTATGCTGTGTGCTAGAGTGTTTCATAGACACGAGATGTGATCCCTGATATATGCATTGTTTATGAGAAGTTGAAGCTGTGGTATATGTTTAATTTGTCCTTTTTTTAAAATCAAGGGCCCGTCCCTCTGCTGGAGACAACCGTAATGAGCACTGGAGTCACAGTCCTGTGGAGCACATTACCTCCTCTTCTAATGGTCTCCATGGAGCCCACCTTTATGCTTCCATTTCTGGCTATGCTGTAGACCAGCCTCTGCCTCTGACCAAAAGCAGCCACGACATTGGAGTCAGCGGCAGAGAGAGGTCTGTCATGGGTGGGACTGTAGAACGGCAGCAGGTATGTCAACTTGTAACACATATGGAGGGTACATCTGGTGTTCATAGTGACAAAATCCAAGCAACCAAGCATCCAACCTGAAATAGGGGATTGATGATAAAATAAATAAATACATGATTTTGAATCATTTGGTTAAATTAAACCTAATTCATGCCTGTTGCGTCCACATGGCCATGAGAGCCTGTGTAACATAAATTTCATTATTTGCCCACATTTGTGAACATCTGTGACCCCAGTGCAGACACGCTTGCTGGCCAAAATTTGCAACTGCCTGGACGGTACGCACTACAGGGGTACTAACTGCTCATACACTAGAAAAGCACAATGTGTCACCTTGTCAATGCTGGTCATGTTTTGCACCAGGTAATGTGCGGTAATCCTTGGTCCTGCTTTGTTAAGCACTAACATACATAATTTTCTTTTTTTGACTTTTAATTGTTCAGCCAAATATAACCAGCAATGGAACTGTTGTTTTTGCTGTCGTGAGGCTGCATACCCTAGTTGTAGTACTTATAGAAGTGCGTCCACTTGCAAATCTGTGAGTGTTCACATCCGCATTGAAGCAACAAATCTTAAGGAAGTGAAAACTGTTCTGATAATGGAGGATTCTATTTGTATCCGCTATTGTCCGCTTTCCCAATTTATTGAGATATCTGCAGTATCCAATGTAAGTTTTGTTTCTTGAAACTTTGGCTGTGTTTAGACATGTAATGTTACCCAAAAGTTATAATTTTTTGCAAGCAACTATATGGGAGATATTTTAGGATAATGGATGACACTGACTGCAAAGATAACCGGTTTTGTTTTACAAGGGCTTTTTTAAAATAACAGCTTAGTGGGAAGAGGAAGGTGTCAAGAGCAATGATGCCAAAGAAAAATTTGCCACGCTTGATAGCTAGCTCAGATTTAATGGCAAAGTTAACCTCAGGGGACACAGGGCTATATATCATCACACACACACAGTTAGAAAATAATTTAGTCTCCATTTAAAAAAAAAAAAAGATTTCCGTGAGGGTTACTTTCCTTGGTTGTTTGACTTTCACTATACAGATTAATGTAGATAGTTATTGTCAGGAGAAAGTTCATAGATTGTGGCATTGTTAATTTGAGAGAAGTAATAGATTTGCTTTTGTGTATTTTGTATATATCAAGTCTGTGGAGGAGATCTGTGAGGGGTGTACAAACCCTTGCATAGTAGTGTGTCTGTGTTAGCTGATTCTATGTATTTTTTTCCATCTATAGAATCGTCCCTCTGTCATTACCTGTGCCCCAGCGAGCAACCGCAATTGTAACCTCTCTCACTGCCACATGAATGGCTGCTCTCCCAGCCCATCTGCTGATCAGAGAAAGACCAATGGTAAGCCTGTCATTACAACACACAATGTGCAGTCTAAAACTCTTAATATTTTCCTTTCTCTGTAATATTGTCAATGTAAAAAAACAAATGAAAGGGAATGTACTACATTCACTATGACACACTTGTGTGTGCATAACAAAGTTTAAATTTGATGCTCATTGATAAAAAAAAAAAACATCTTTATGACATTACACTCACAGAGCAGTCTATTATGGACACCATACTAATACTGTAATACACTGTAAAATAAACAATAGACTCTGCTCTCATTTATCCATCAGAAGATGGTAAATTGTGGCTGTAAAGGGATGCACATCATCAACAACAATACACAGATTGACTGTGGCATTTAAATAATGATTGATTGAAGGACCCAAAGTGCCAAGAAAACATTCCCCACACCATTACACCACCACCACCATCCTGGACTATTGACACAAGGCACATTGGGTCCATGGATTCATGCTGTTCACAACAAATTCTGACCCTACAATATTCAGCTGTCAAGATTTCTGTTCTTGGCTCACAAGAGAGCAATCTGACATGGTCCTCTGCTGTTGAGATGAGTTTCTTCTCACCACAGTTGTTAAGAGTAGTTATCTGAGTAACCATAGCCTTTCTGTCCGCTCCAACCAGTCTGGCCATTCTCTTCTGACCTCTCTCATCAACGAGGTGTTTTCGTCCACAGAAGTGCTGCTCAGTGAATTTTTTATTTTTTTTGCAGTATTCTGGGTAAACTCTAGAGACTATTGTGTGTCAGAACTGGAGAGCAGCAGTTTCAGAAACACTCAAACCAACCTGTCTGGCACCAACAATCAAGCCACAGTCAAAGTCACTGAGATCACATCTAAATTCTACAGGACCAGTACTGTATTATGATTCAGATCCTGGTGGAACCAGTTTAGGCCTAAACAGCTTTCATTCTATTGATTCCATGGTGATCATAGCTTTGTTTATTTTCTATATTACATGCTTGGTAATAACAGGGTTTTTGGTCTTTTTCCTCTACATCTAATTTAATTTTAGCTAACACAGTATGTGATCCTGTGATTGAGGAGCACTTCCGTCGCAGCCTTGGGAAAAACTACAAAGATGCGGAGCCTGTGTCCAACTCAGTGTCCATCACAGGTTCAGTGGACGACCACTTTGCCAAGGCTCTGGGAGATGCCTGGCTCCAAATCAAGGCCAAGGGTGGGGGTCATCAGACCCCAGATGCAGATCCATGAAGCAGAGGGAAGTAAACATTACAATCGCCTTCTTAGTGTTTGCTTCTTGCCAAGCATCAACTTCCCTTAGCAAAGAACAATATAAGACATATAACGTGGTGCTCTCCCAGGCTATTTACTTTTGGACATTGAGGGCGACCTTTTATTAGAATACTCAGCTCATATTTGTTCTCCAAAATTGGGAAAGTTTCTCAATTGAAGAAGAAAAAATAAATATTGCGTAGTTGGATTGACGATGTTGGTTGTCAAAATTGTACAATCATAGATTTTATCTTGCACCGATAATGAGATTCACAAAGTTGTCGGATGTTAGCTCATGTTCTGTTTTACCTGCCTTTCACTTGCCTTGATAGCCAAAGAAATTCCTTGCCTTTTCCATCAACATATAAACCATAGATCTGGTCTTCATTGTTTCCATTCTAAAATCACACTGCTTTCTGAATCTGTATTACTTGAAAAGGACAGCCAGGTCTCATTTGCACTATTACATTTCTGACCGTTTAGGTAGCAGGTTACCTGTTTCAGTTGGAGCTAATATGTTCAAGAATGCGTCTTGTGTTTTGAAATAGTGATAATGCAATTAAGGCTCTGGTCCCCCTGCTTTCTGGAGACACTAGACTAATCTGTCTTCTTTATGATCCTGAACTGGACTTATCCACTGTTAACTAAATAATTTTAGTTTCCTGTCTATATGCTCACTGTGGCTGATTACTTAGTAAACTAATATCAATCATAGTACATATCTCTAACTAGAAAGCATGTTTCAAATAGCTGGTTTCTATTACAATCCTTATTCTATACTATATATTTACTCAGAATTTATTTTTTACCTGTAACATTTTAGAAATACTCACTGCTGGTACAGTTGTACTCAATATATTTTTTGTATCTGGTTTTCATTACTATATATAGGTTTATATCTTAGCATCCATCTACAAATCACAGCCTCTGGCAAGGTTGTCTGAATGCAGTTTAATAGGCTACATTGCTTTGTTACTCTGTGGAGCTGGATGCTTTATACATGACTGAATACAGCTAAATCTGACCTTCTGTAGTACAGTCTTTTAGCAGTGGCTTTATTTATTCACAACATGTTGATGCTTTCATGTTGACTTTTGACAACAGAATTCTTTTTTTTAATTTGTTGAGAACACAAGAGGATGTCTCCATTGCTTCAATGACAAAATTGATTTCCCTTAAAAACGAAGATTTTAAAGCAGATGCAATGTGAGTGTCCTTAACTGTTGAGTAGGCATCATTCCACCGTGACTGCCAGACATGTATCAGTCATTTCAGTTGTGTTCAGCAAATACTGTTACAGGTATGTTTGTCTTTCTTGATTAAGATGATGTCATGATGCTAGCTGCAAAAATCTTCCTTATTATGGAGAAAAGGTTAAAATGAGCCACAAAGTTTTTTATGCAGTTGAGTTTTGTTTAAATTAATTTCTCACCCTTCTGAAATTCTCTACTTACAGTAGCATAACCTATTTGTCAACACTGATTAAGATATGGTATTGTAAATTCAGATTTTTTTTGTTTGTCAATTAACTGTCTGTGAAAACATATACATTTGTATTAATATTCAACAGTTTTTAAAATTGTTACATACACTATCCTGTCTTTATATTTTATTTTACTCATGTAAGACTATCATTGCGCCGCGCGGAATGATCATAGATATTTTGTTTTCTATTCAGAGTAGTGTACTCGTGTAGCATGGATGCTCATTATCTTCTAACCATGGTTCTATCTTTCTAAAAGTTGATTATTTTCCCACAGTTATCAGATGATAAAAAAGTGCAGGAACACAACAGTCTTTTGATCAAAGACTTTCTTGGTGCAGTGTCAGAAAGACTTCTACACTAACAGTTTAAAGAGTTTGTGTCTGTGTGTACCATAGTGGAGTTTAGGGATTATCATGGGATCTGCTTGTTTGACACAAGTAGATTTTTTTTAGTAATATGTTTGGGGTATTAGTCCATTGTTATTTAATTGCTATGTTTAGACTACCTGTATCTCAAAGACTGTTAGCAGAAAGGACCTGCTCCAGGTGTCATCCACATGTAAAACATATGTTCACTTTTGTCCTTATTTCTCTGGAAGAAAATGCCACTGTTTGTACTTAATTTCTTCCAAATAAACATTCAAATGCCAACCTTTGCATATTTCCTGTCATTCTTTTTACCAAACAAAATGTGACTGCAGTCATAAGAGCATGAGATACTTTATATTGTATTTGCTGACTGTCTGTAGCATGCAGTAACAAGTTGCAGTCAATCAGATTGCATAATTTAACAAAAAATATTCTTGCCAGTATAAAAGTGAGGCAATTAAGATCAAGTGCTGCTACATGGTAGTTGGTATATAGGTCAGAATGGGTATGAATGTAAGGTATTGAGGTGACAGTGTTTCAGTTTTCTTTTTCTTTCTTTTCCACAGTGACCAAAAAAGAGATACTGCTATAGGTAAACAGCAGTCTGCAGTGTATTGTTCCACAGGGTCCATTCAGATCCACTCAAAACATTTGTGTGCACCAAACGTGTATTTTGGGGTAAAATGTGGAGAAAGGTTCTTTGGAAACTCCTCAGCTGTCATTTCTGAATTGTGCAGGACAGGCTGTGCCTTATCTCTCAAATCCTGTAACATTACCGTTCTACTGGTAAATTGTAAAACAATAGGATTTCTTTTTTTAATGCATCTCCAATGTTGCAGACACTTGAGCCACTAATGAGGAGGTGGCTACACTGATTAGAGCACTCCTGTTTGAACCAAGCAATCAGGACTCATTGCACATTCTATGTTTTCATTGGATACTGGCTGCCACAGCTACAAAATGAAGTGATTTATCAACATATTAGCCAGACCACTTTAGCTAAGAGGGGCAAGGATTGGACAAATGTCCTTTTATAGTAGACCTACATTATAAGTGTAATTATGCTGAATACTTTACTAAAGCACATTTGTTTATGTGAAACATTGCCTGATGTTTGTGTTTGGTCCTGGAGCACCCTTGTCCCGTAGTGTTTTCAGTGTCTTGTCTTCAGTTAATTCTGATTTTGGTGTTTTTGTTTTTGCTCTTGACTTGGGTCATTACTTGTTTGTCTTTCCAGGAGAGATTAAAATGATTAGTCTCCCAAGAACACTTGGGCCAGTTTTTCAAGTCTGCCTTGCTGTCTCCAGCATGCTGATGTTAAAGTGATACAGGTGTGTATTTGATACTCTACACACACACAGTCTGGTTGTAGAGTATCAAATACACACCTTTGGGCTTGTAAGAGTGCTGAGAGAGGTTTGTAATAAGAGGACTGATCTCGCTTTGCTTCAGTCTGGAGCCTTCTGTCATGTTAGGTATCTTTGGAGCCTACAAACTCCATCATAGTATTGAGTTTCAAATCATGACAGCAGATGAAACTTGGTTATAGAAAACTTCACACTGTAGGAGCTGTTACTCTTTAATGGAAACTACAAGAACATTATTGTATTGGCATAGTGTGAGTCACTCTCTCGTTGATCAGTAACTCTGTCCTTACGTCTTTGTCCCATTTAGGGTTATTTGGAGGTTCTTGTGATTCACAAATAGTTTTCCAGTGAAACATAACAGTTGTATATTTAACATCTTTGTTTTTCTACTTCTCAGCTGGCCTGTGCGTGTGTGTACATGGTACATGTTTTTGTTACCCTCTTCAGGTTAAGGTTAGGGTTATCCTAATGTCCTAACAAGGATAGCTGCACAAGCTTGTGTGTGTGTGTGTGTGTGTGTGTGTGTGTGTGTGTGTGTGTGTGTGTGTGTGTGTGTGTGTGAGAGAGAGAGTGTGAGACAAATTCTACAGCCTAGTCACCATGTTCTCAACAAGCAGCTGACTCAGTTGGTCATAGACACTGTTTGGTTGATTTGGTGTCATGGTAACAAAAGACTGAATAATTGCTGCTGGAAAAATCCATTGCTTTGAAAGTGAGAAAACTGGAAATCATGCTTGATGACTTAGTGGTATGGATGCAGACTTCAGCATTGACCTAGAAAGCATTTTAGCTTGCACATGATCATGTTATAATGGAAATGGGATAATATGAGTGATAATTCTTATGAGACCAGGCCTGTAGTTGGAGCTGAGATTAGCTGACTTCTCTTTCCCAACCAGCAGATGGTGGTATATAACCACCTTACACACTCCCCCAAATTCTCCAGTCCCTGGAGATCAAACAAAGACATGAGCGTCATCATCGTTATTGGGAAGATTGATATAGATGCAGTGTTTCCTCAATGTGTTTGTTAGTAATGTAACAATGTACTTTGCATGTAAAATGGATCTATGGGTAACGAGACATTGTTTTCATGCTGAGAGCAGAATCCATTGTAGACCTTATCCAACATGGCTCTAGATCCCAGACCCCTGTTTTTAAGGATCTTCTCTGAAATTTCATTGTAGATGTATTCATGTATTGGAAACATTATGCTTGATTAGCATAACCATAGTTGAATTTTAAGCTATAAATAAAATCCTTAAATGCTGAATGAAAATGTAAATGAGTATACCTCCACTTCAGTTTGGCTAATTTGAATTTGCTGAGCACCATTCATAGCGCAAATCTTTAAACTAGAAAAGAAAGATCTTTTTTTCCCCCCTCGTTTGGTTGTTGTTACTCTCACCCCTCAGGCTCAAATCTGCTCAAAAAGCCCCTCCAAAAGACCACTGCCTCCACGAGATTAGACCCAGCCATTCACCAACCACAATGCCCCTGCTTCTGTTGCTCCATGCCTTCCAAGGAAGCCTGCTCTTGTGGGATTATGGAGAGGAGATCCACATTTTCTTGCTTGTGTAAAACCAATCGCAGATCCACACACAGACACACACATGTACGTACACAGATATCGGGCCGCATTGGTGGCCGACATGAAACTAGTGTCTAAATCAAGATGACACATCAGGGTCACGCCAAATTCGGCTTGGCTCCTTCAGTGTGTGAAGGCCACAAGGAGCATGACATCTGTGCTTGTGATGGGGGACTGGTCTCTCAGTCGCTGCCTCCCGTTATTGCTGTAACAGGATGGACTCTGCTGCTTTCAGACATGGTCAAAACACACATATGTCGAACACTGTCCTCTCCATTTTCCTCTCTTGGTTACGTAAAAGGAACAAACCAATGAAAATGGTTTAACACAGTGCACTCTGGACACGGTGTGGAGTTATAATTAATCCAATTGGATAGATGCATGGTTTTACTACAGGCTAAATGGGAAATAGTGGCCCTCGCAGTGGCATACATGTTGGCTCACATTTTACCTACATGTTAGCCTGCACTAATGGCTGAAAGAGATCTCATTCATTCGTTAGCATAATTCCAAATATCTGAATAGAATGTGAGGCTACACTCATATTTACAGCATCCCCGAGTGCACAACGTCTGGGGAATTTGCATGATTGCCTGTAGATTATTTGAACATTATCTATTCCCCCTCCTCTTTTTTTTCTTATTTCTGTGGCTCTCTGCTGTGAGGATGCACACACATCCTTGGGCAAAAGAATCTAAAATAGATCATACAAGCAACTGGAGTAGATGCACAGGCACAGGAAGCAGCTCACGGGCAGACTTGAGTCATGCTGGCAAGATCATGCACCCTGAGCTGACAGCCCAACACACCCGATTACCAAGCACGTCATTTCTAAAATGCAGCCACAGCCTCACTACAGGTCACAAACAAGAGGGGAAATATTGAGAGCCAACGCCAATTTACCCATAAATGACTCTTTGAATGTAGCATGGATTGAGAGCAATGTTGTAGATGCTTTAAGACTGACCTGATGAGCATCTCTGGCTCAAGCAATAGTGGCTCATTCATTGTGTCATGTGGACTGCTGGCAATGGCATAACCTTTGTGAGGGGAACGGAAGACAACACGGTCACTCTGGATAACAGTCTTGCAATGAACAGAAACAGACCCTGTCAGGCCGTCTCAACATCAGTTCTCAGCTGCACACCACCACCAACACACTCTACCAATCGCTCTTTGCCTTTTCCTTACTTCCTACTTCCATCAGTTAAGACAGCTCCTTCTTGATAAGGCCCTCTCATGTGGCGTGCATGCTACACTGATTTGGCAGGATCTTATTAATACATTTCTCCTTTGCATCCCTCCATGGCGCATGCTGTCTCAGCTCCATCTGACCCGCTTTGTTGCGCACATTTGGCCTGCTGTATGGCCGTATGGCGCTTGACACAGCCAGTGATTCCCCACTGATACAGTTGGCTTAAATTTCATACTTTTATATATTATTGATTGATTAGTAAATGATTGATTTAAAGAGCCATCTGCTGCACAATAGCATGACTGTGCTGCTGCTTTGTTGTTCCTTCAAGATAATGATTTGCTTCCAATTAGGACATACAAATGATGGGCTAATATTTCTTGTTAGCCAGACACTGTATTTTTCCCACAAGATCAGGAACCCATATAATTATTCAGATTTCCTCTTTTAACAATAGGCGGAAAAGGATGTTTATTGAGACAGTGGGTTTTGGGCACTGAGCAGCAGATAAATGTTTGAACCATCACTAAGGGGCATTCTCATGTCTCATTATGAGGCTTGTTAGGGCCTACATTACAGCTGCTTGACTGAGCAGCCTTAATAAGGAAAGTGACCCAACACCAATATAAGCAGCAATGTTTTTTCTCTCACATCCATGTACTACTGTCTTCCATGGCCCTATCTCTATCCTCTTGTCTGCCCCCCCCCGCCGCTCCTCTCCTCGCCCCGTTTTGCCCACAGCAACCCCCCACTAGCTCACCATCACCATCACCCACCACCACCACCACCACTACCTCTCCCCCGTGTGTTTGGCAGTCACACAGTCGGCCATGTGTGTGCTGAAGACGTTACATAATGCCCTCCTTTCACTGCACTCCGGATCATTAGAGAACAATCCAGCACAAGAAAAATTGCTCCTTGCTGCTTTTTCTTTTTTCTTCTCCTCCACCATCACATTGCTTTATCAGACTTCAGTACCCAGAGACTGTACAGTAGACTGCATTGTTATCTGCTTCAGCATTCCCCTTCATGCTGAAAACCAAACAGAGCAAATGGGGAATGATCAGAGGTTCAATGTTCACAAAAAAAAGGAATGACAAAGATGCTTCAGGCATAGAGAGATTACACC